CCATAAATCGAGTAAATATAGGTATTGATTAATTCATACAGCTGCAACTTTTCCAGCTTCCTTTTGTATCTCTGCTTCTGTCTCATTGAACCCCATCGGCCTCGGCAGATGGCCGCTCACGTTTAACATCTGGTTATCCTCCAGCAGCAGTGTGTCGCAGTGAGCTTGTTACAGATATTTTTGATTTATGCCCAATACTGAAGCGTTGTCTTCACTGTTATTACACGCCACAACGCAAGAGGGACAATCAGGAATTAGCTGTGGGTCTAGATACGGCCGAGGCGGTGAGGAATTGAGGGCAACGGAGGGAGATGAGGGCCAAAAAGAGCGGGGATCCAGGTGGAAAAAGGGTCCCAGGGTTCTCCACAATGGCGGTCATAGAAACAAAACAGACTGTTAAGGTACCAAACAGGAAATACGTATAGTGTAGAGCGGATGTTGATTTGACCAATCAGAGGCCTTCTGTCTGCAGAAGTGACGGGGTTCTATTTGCGTTCACTGCGATAAACACGCAGACGACCTGGTTTCTGGGTATAAATCATCCTTTAGCCGCTTATATCTACTGAATCTTTCCCCTCCAAACCTGTAGGGGGAGCTCTGCATATTGCACCCGGAATAGTGACAAAGAATGCTAGCTTCAGTTAGCTTATTGGCTCACTGCAGTAAGAGCTTCTACTGAAAGATTGGGCTTCGTCTGCATGAAATGAGCCCAGTCTCCTCATTGGTTCGACAGCTTAAATCCGGCAGACAAATGTCAAAATGTGTGAATTTGAGACATTTGTTCTGCATTGTGTATGCTACTAGCATGTTCTTGTGCTAAATGAAAATTAGCTCCTTATTCTTTCATTTTGAACTTTGACTTCCCCCTCTACCAGTTAGAAAAAATCCACAGAAAAGCTGCACCTTCTTATAAGACGCATGGTTCAAAGCATGGGGAAAAAGTAGCAGCTTATATTCCAGAAAATACGGTACATCAGGATTACATTATTCTTAAAAAATCTCTGTCAACATGCATCCTATAATCCTTTTTCTTGAGGAAGCACATTGGTTTAAGGGATGCAGCTAAAATAGTCTGGATTGCAATAAGAAAATAAATAAAGACCAAATAAAAAAATCATTTTGAGTTCTTCACCAAAACAATTCATTTGTTTACTACAGAAAAACAGAATTTTCTTTTTAGATCTTCAAAAAATAGCTGCTTCTCTTTTTAATTAGAACAACGCAGACTTGTAATCGTATGGTGCAAAAGAATATCTTCATGTTGAGTGGGTGTGAATACTTTATTGTGCCATTATGATTTTATAAATGAGATTCGGGGCAGGATGTGGATTTGTAGCATGAACATATCGGACCGTTTGTAACCAACTAAGCTAACGTTTCCTTCTGTTTTCGCGTCTCAGGACGATCCGAGCGCCGATAAAGAAAACTCCGTGCTTCCTCCCAGCGGAGTCGTTCCATCAGCGAAGGTCAGCGAAGACAACGTGATCGACAACCCGTACCTGCGGCCCGTCAAGAAACCCAAAGTGAGGAGGAAGAAGTGAGAGGACTCTAACGGACTCTGGTTTGGGGTTAAAAGCTGCTGTGGCGTCAGCAGCTGACGGACATCTGCTGAAGAAAAAACTTTTCTGTTTGGTTTTTCTGACAGAACTCACTTTGTACGGAACTTTGTAAGCGACTTCGCTGCGGGGTTTACTGCAGCCTGCACCCTTTTTGTACATATGACACAAAAAAAAAGATTATTATTATTTTTTTTTTATTCATTCTGACATTATCCTGTCTTTGGTGAGAATCTCTGCAGCTGTTCTGATGATGGCGAAGAGTCAGTAAAATCCGAGCACTCCATACGGGTCTGTGTGGTGATGTACCTTCAGCTTTAGAGTTAGTAATACAAGCTCAGATAGGCCA